TGCGAGGTACAAATCGGAGGCATTCTCCATATTGTTAGAATACCAATTTTATTTTCCTGGTATGTAGTACCCAGTGCAGCGCGGCGTCCCCGGAGATGCGGCCATTCTCCGGAGATTACTTCAGCATTGCATTACCGCTATCACATATCCATTATATATACTCTTTCAGACAAGTGGAAATGTTTTCACAAAAACAATCTGGAATCTTGGCTTAAAACCCAAGTTTGCTGTCAAGACAAACAGAGTAGCCTCAAAGAGGACTTATTTTTATTTTGTTCAGACAAGTATGTTGTTTCTGGATTATAATAAGTGAAAATATAGCAGCTATCAGTCTTCGGTTTATTTGACAAGCTCCCTCTGACATACCTACAGGAATAAGCCCCGGCCTTGCAAACTCGCTCTCACTCAGGTATTCTCTTTGGCTTCAGTGCTTTTATTAGCGTGATTAAGGGCCACACTCGTTTACAGGACGGAAGCCATAGGATGGGATGATTTATCTGTTCACCCATTCCTTATTTTGTAAAGTTTTAAAAGCCTTTGCTGTGCTCAGGGCTCGTCAGCATCAGTCAGAGCTCGTGTCCCATCACCTATCAAGCAAGGTCAATGAGCAGGTTATAATCAGGTGCCAAATAAACAAATGCAAACTTGAAATCAAGTGATTTACTGTCCATTTTCATTAAGCTCTTCCCAAGGATGCAAACACTTTATGCCGCACAGGGGACCTTTGGGGAGGGTCAGCTGCTGTGCTGAAGTGAAGCACAGTGTGATGCTTTTCACCCAAATGGAGTTTCACCATATTGAGCGTAAAGGGAGGGCAGCCTGGCCTGGGGAGCAGCACACTGTAAACAGAGCTGTGCCTTCACCTGGCAGCAAATTCTCTGTTGCAAAGTGTGTGGAGTGTTAACGTTTGTGTGCTTACATTACTCTCAGTTTTCTTGCTTCTAGACGAGGATTTTCCTTCTATTGTAAGCTAAAAATATGTTGGGACGTGATGGATTCTAGCTTCATTATGAACCTCAGCCCACCTTTCAATTGACATTTCAGTTTGTGTAAGGATTCCAGCACAGAGCTGGGTTGTTTGAAAGCAGCAAGACATGTCTGAAAGCATGCTGAGGTCTGGCCTTGATGGAAAATCAAGAACCCAGTCCAAGCTTTGGGGTCTAACCCATTAAATCCAAGGCTGGGTGGTTCTGGTGAGACTCTGAAACATTATCTTGGTCTTCTGCAGACTGCCGGGCTCCTTCCAGCTGGTCATATCCATCCAGGCTCTATGTGGCTCTGGGCAGCCTGCTCTAGCAGTTGGCAACCCTGCACGTAGCAGGAGGTTGAAACTAGATGATCATTGCTGTCCTTTTCAACCCAGGCCATTCCATGATTCTGTGTGTGTGGTTTATAGCAGCCTGGGCTGAGCTGCACATCCGGATGCGATCGGAAGAGGGACATCAGCGGGCAGAGCAATGGGCTGCCCTGAGGCACACAGAGAAGACTCTCCAGAGTTTGATGGTATAAATCAGATTGAGACTGTGCTGAAGCACTGTTTAGGAAAGACATGTCACTTGGAGCACGCAAAATATTGAGCAACTTGAATTGTTTTTCCACGAAGCTTATCCCTTGATAGCACTTTCCTCTCTTATATCTCCTTAATACAGCATAATTTAAATGTTTTCTAGGCAGAGTTATGCTTATACTGCTTCTTTTCCAATGTAATATTGGCTGTAATATAGATGTATTGGCAAGAAGTCACGGTTTGCTTCTTTGCCATTTTGTGAGTTTCCTAATCCAAAACAAGAATGTAGAACTTAACTTACTCTGAAATTTCGCAAATGCTTCTTACAAACAAATGGTTTATACGCAGTTTTTCTGTGTTTGTTTTATAAATTGTTCCATTCCCATATCTTAGAAAATTTCCCAAATGAGACCGAGCAAAAATTTTTTTCACCCTCTCTTTTTTCTTTTTCCTAAAGGTTGCATAAATATTTCACATGTATCTCCCTTTAATTAGATTAAAAGATTGTAAAGTGGCAGAGAGTTTTCTCTTTCCCCAAATTAGACATGAGAACCACAAACAAATTAATTTGTGTCTCAGGGTTCTGACTGGGCCTCTTGGCCTCCTCCAGCTCTAACACAGGCACTCGTGACCCTCTGGATTTCAAACGCCTGAGGGTAAAAAGCAATTATAAAAACATGACTCTCCCAGATCAGCTTTCGAATCTGCCTTGTCTCTGTTTTATTGATGGGAGATTGAAGGAAGATTCAAATCAGCTCTCCTTCAATTCTTTACCAGCAGCAAAATGCAGAAATCATTTGCTTTTTCTTTATAAATGACTTTGTCCTGCTTTATTATTCTGGGTATTTGACTTAACAAGGTTATATTGAATATTTATTTCTAGTTTTGCTATTTGTAAATATTCATTGCTTTGCCCCTTGTTTTCTTTTTCAGAATATTTTTTTTTCACAGCAATTAGAGCAAGAACTAATTAATACGGGTATTTTTTAATAGCTAAGGAATGCACACTCACTCAAATTAGGATGATCTTTTTCTCATTGGCCTGTCATTGGGACCTTAATGCACCACCATATTAGAAAACTAAAACAATCAAGTATCTGGTAGCTTTTACTTCTCTGCATGATTACTGATGATCATGTTTTTGTATTTACTGGTATGGTTGGGGTGAGAACAAACCATTAACTTTAAATCCTAGTGCAGCATTGTGCACATATACAAAATCCAATCATTTCCCAAAGAAAGGAAGGAGGAGAGGTTGGCACAGAAGTTGGGAAGTACAGGCATAGGGAGTAGTCAGGCTCTTTATTTGCACCCAACCTAATGTAAGACACATGGGTGGTGATGTCTGAGCCTGGGAAGAGACTTTGTGTGAGTGCCGCAAGGGCAGCCTCTCTTTTTCTTCTTCTTTTTGGAATTACATGATTTTGGCTTTGGTTTCAGGCCAGGTGGAGGGCAGGGTCCAGGTTGCGAGGGGTCTGCATTCCAGATGACCGCAGTTGTCAGATGAATATCATAGAATCATAGAATCATGGAATGACTTTGATTGCAAGGGACCTCGAGGATCATGAAGCTCCAAGCCCTCCGTCACAGACAGGGCCGCCAACCTCCACATTTAATACTAGACCAGGCTGCCCAGGGCATACCAGGGAATACAAAGGGCTAAGGGCCAATGATGGGGCCTTGCAATTTTGTGCAAGTGAACATACCCTTCAGCCCACATGTTGCCTTTCTGAACACTACTGGGGTGGCTTTGCAGATAAAAACGCCTTGTAGCTCAGATGGTGGCTTGTTTAAATGATACAACACAGACATTCAATTTTAAGAAGCTGGAGCTTTATTTTTGGAATCCTAGAATGCGTACAGAATTTAAAAAGCCTAAAGCTATAATGTTTTACTGCTCCTTTGATAAAATTTATATTTAATCATATCTTAAAAACTGTTCTCATTCTGCCACTTGATGTTACCAACCAAGCGGAACCCATCAATGCAACACTATCTATCAACTCTTCTTTTATTTCATTCTCCTACAACTCCTTTTTAATGGTATATACGTTAATGAATTACAGTGGAGTTTCTGTGAAGTGCAAATGAAAATTATGCTCATACCAAGAGTGGAACCATTACCCACGGATTCTTTCTTACTCTATTGGAAACAAAATGCTGAATCTGACCCATTTATGCTGCAGAACCTCCAACATGCAGAAGATGAGATTTCCAAAAGTTGTGATCTGTGGCCATTATTCAGTGTCTTCAGATCTTAGGAGGAAATTCAATACCCAGAGGGTGATGAGGCTGTGCCTCCCAGAGCTGTGAGCGCCCCATCCCTAGATGTTTCCAAGGCCATGGATGGGCCCTGGACAACCTGAGCTGAGAGAGGTGTCCTTGGACACAACAGAGCTGGAACTGGATGGGCTTTAAAGTCTTCCAACCCATCTCTTCCCATGATTCTATGATCTTCATCTAAGCTTTTCATCAACATTTTTTAGGACACTTCCTGAAGAGGTGGGGGCATTGTGCATGCAGTGGTTCACAGCCCAGGCTGATGAGGATGAGCAACTCATTGGTAGCTTGCCTGAATTTCCAATGATGCCCATTTGCTGCTGGCAATTATGGGATTACACAGGGATTTGTGCAGTGAGATACCGATCTCTTTATCAAATTTGTCTCTTTAAAACAGTAGTTAGACTGATTAGAATCTCTGCTAAACTCTCCCTACAGCTACACCTGTTATCTCTGCTGTTGTAATGCTGTTGGATGTGCACTTCTGGGGGTAGATGGTGGCGTTTGGTGATGCACTGTGCATGTTCCATGCAGCATGAATGAGTTAAATGCATTTCTCTCCATTTTTTTTTTTCCTCAGAACTGAAACATGTCCAGCAAAGTTGGTGGTCTCCATAAGAAATTCAAACTCTCTGCTGACCAAGTGAAAACACATATGTGAATGTATCAGGCATATACATAATCTTGGCTGAAAGTCAGCACCGGTGACAATTTCACTCAGTGGAATCTTAATTTTGATCCCCACTCTTAAAAATCATGTTTGTGTCAGGAATTTTACTTAGAAGACCTTTTAGCCTTTTAGTATCAGGCTGATTTCTCAAGTTGTTAATAATTTTGTTACAATATGAAGACACTCTATTTTTAATCCTGTATGAATTTGAATTAAAAATCACACACATTCAGTATAGTGAGCCAGAACAATTTTTTTCTTTTTCTTTTTCTTTTTCTTTTTCTTTTTCTTTTTCTTTTTCTTTTTCTTTTTCTTTTTCTTTTTCTTTTTCTTTTTCTTTCTCTTTTTCTTTCTCTTTTTCTTTTTCTTTTTCTTTTTCTTTTTCTTTTTCTTTTTCTTTTTCTTTCTCTTTTTCTTTCTCTTTCTCTTTTTCTTTTTCTTATTCTTTTTCTTTTTCTTTTTCTTCTTCTTTTTCTTCTTCTTTTTCTTCTTCTTTTTCTTCTTCTTTTTCTTCTTTTTCTTCTTCTTTTTCTTCTTTTTCAGAAGTATCCAGTGTGGACTACAGCTGCTGAGAAGACACCAGACTAAACGGACCATTGGAAATTGCACGTGCTGATATCATTCCTTTAAATAGGAATGATTTGCTCTTATGCTTGATAAACACATAAGTAGAAGCCTAGTCTTTTCATTTCTGCCTCTTTTCCTGGAGGGCCAGGGGATCTCCCAGTGCTGTCTGTTCTTTTCCTCTGTGTTTTGCAGGCAAGGGAATCTCATGCAAGCCTCAGCTCCACATCCTCTGAAGAGGCAACATTAAAGTCAGCACTTGACTGCACTGAATTTTACAGGATTTTCTCCCAAGTATGATATTGATATCTTTTAAGTGAATGGAGTAATTGAGGAATCTTTCTCTAAATTATTGACTGGGTGTCTGGAGAAGAGATGAATGAGAAATATCTTTATTCCTGCAAAAGGTTTAGGTGCACTGAGTTAATCTTGTGCCTTCTGATGTGACCCTTTCTGAGTGTTATTTAGGAAGAACCCTTCATGCTAAGCCTGTGGGGACACTGCACGTGTGTGAGGAAGAACAGACTAAATTTTGGTGCTAGACACTCGAGATTTTCCACGTTTCCAATTTTCTTTTCTTCTAGTTAGTCAGGAGACAGAAGCAAGAGGCAGCTGAAGAACAGACATTATAACCCGACATCGCCCTGCCTTTCCATTCACAGTCTCCTAGTATTTGGCAGTAATATTTATGCTGTCTTAGGTAGAAAAGTTTGGGGGTGAGCAACGGGAGGAGAAGCTGCTCAGAGGCATTGCATTCAGCAGGAGCTGAGCTCTGGGAGGGCTGGGAGGGCCTGCAGTGCCGGGTTGGCTCGGGGAAGTTGTGCCATGAATGCACCCAGAGGGAATGTGCATATTGGTTGGAGCGGCTTAGGAAGGCAAAATGCATCTCTGCTCACTGCTGGGCTTATGTGTAGGCAGCCTGAATTTGTTCTGGAGGGAAAAAAAGGCAAGGGAAAGCATATATATAGCTCTGCATTTATAGAGAAAGGTTAACAGGAAAGAGAATGCAGACACTGCAATGGGTTTTCTTCTTCCAGCAACGTCTCCAGCATCGCTTGAGTGAGACAAGGGGACTGTAAGTATCTGTTTTTCTGTAAAAAGAAAAATTATTTGATACAAATTTGATCACACTGGTAAGGATTAAAGGCTGTTTTCTGCAGAATGTATTTGCTTCTTAAGAAAAACAAATGGAAATCATTTATAGATAGCTTTGAAATGCTTTCCCAAAATTATTTTCCTGCTTTGTTTTGTTTTTTCTTTTTCTTTCTTTTGCCCCTCATGTGCCACTAGAGATCAGCATATTTTTAGGTATTTAAGCAATCATTATGCCAACAGAGGGGCTTAAATAGGGATACAGCATGACTATTGAGCAGGGAAATTGCTCATGACTGGCAAAACAAAACAAATAAAAATCAGGCCTGAAGGCATTCTGAGAACAACTTTTTGCATCCAGTCTTCATATTCCCGTGCTTTCTCAGAGGTTTGGGGCAAATCTCTCTCTTTCCAGTATACCAGTTTTTTTTTTGTTGTTGTTTTTCTGATGACACAGAAATCAGTGTGAAATATGGGAGCGCACACTTCTAATTTTATTACTGCTTTAATGCATTCATTGCATTATTGGATCCATGATTCTGTATAGGCATCTTCAAGACCGAAAACTAGCAGGATCTTCTCCAACTTCCAGGTTGCCACAGAAAATTAAAATAAATATGGATTTTTACATTTTATCAATTTCTGGTTCTGTGAAGCCTGTCCATTTCCTCACTTTTACAAATCAACTAAGCTTTCCATTTCATATCTGAGAGGGCTCAGGAGACCCGCAGGCGAGGCTCCTGCCTTTGCAGATGTTCTCTCCTCCACGCACAAGCACACTCACAAGTTCACGCACACTCTTGTTGCTCAGTTTGCTGGTCAGCCCTTCCAAGTCATTCATGTTTGGCAATCACCAGTCAAAGAAGAGCTCATCATTTTTCTGATTTTGGAAGATTTCTCACGCTGAATGGAGCTTACTAATCCTGTGCTGGCACACAGTTTTACAGGCTTTGTGTGCATGGCTTGGAGGGGATTGCCAGTCAGACCTGGAGCATGGTGACGTCCCCAATCCAGGAGTTACTCACCATGGTAAATCCCATTGCTGCCCCGTTGTCTTGTAACAAACTACTGATCAGGTTTAAGGTTACTCTCCTTCTGACATCTCCCTAAAGGATTTCATTTTCATACATGGGATAACTCAGCAGTAAGAGTAAAATTAGGAAGCACATATTATGGTTCACACAAGTGCACCTTCTCTTCTTCCCAGGCTTTTGCTTACCTTCATGCCTTAAGTTCAGGCACAGCAAGACCCATGAAACGTTCATTCACACTTCACAATTCCAAATGCCTCTTGGCTTCGTCAGCTTGTCAGGTGCTGGATTTCTGCAGGAAAACTCCTCAGAAAGGAGTTACTGTGACAAACTTAGCTTCCATCAGGACAGCATTCAGTCAGCACCTTCCATGGGGTCCTGTTGCAGATGGGCACAGAAGATCGGGAGCAGCACCCAAGGACACGTGGCCTTTTGACCTCAGTGCTTGCAAGAAGAAGTAACTGAACTAACACGATTTTTTTATTATTTGTCAGGTAATATTTTTGAGGCTTAGCACCAAGAGGTGGTTAAGCTGAAATTTTACAGGCACTAAACTGTTTTTGCAAATCCCAGTGAGGCAGCTCCATCCCACGCTGAAGGCTATGTCCACTGTGGCTGTGGGATGGGGATAGCAGCAAGGTGGTCGAACCAGGGGGGATGAAGCAGGGACTTGGGATGCAGGCAGCCCCAATGGGCTTTGGAGGCAGCTCCCATCTTTGCTTCTACAGATTTCAGTCACACTGTCCTTGTCAGAGACTTCTCCCTCAAAATGAAATGTGATCAATGTGCATTTGCACACTGTAATAATTGTGTTTTCCTTTGGAGCTTGTTACAGAAAAGCTGACTCTGTCAGCACATCCTAAAGTGGGTTTCCTGCTTAAAAACAAGAGTGCCAACAGAAGAGGTTAGAGAGATTTGTGCTGCTCTGAAATGGAGTCTCTAGGTGAAATTAATGTATTAAATTTTCAAGGTAATTGTAACTTCTTGCCTTAAAATGTTTTTAATACTCTCAAGATGAAACATAGATATCTTTTCAAAACTTTCATGGTCAGGCTTCTCTCTAATATCCACAGCACTAATTTACTGGGAACATTAAGTAGCAAGAACTCCTTTTATTTGATAGGTTTTTACCAAGGACATAATGATCCAAATCAAGAATCCATGGATCTCCTGCAAAACTCCTTGGATTTTGAATCGCTGATTAAAACAAATGTGAGCAAAGAACAAATAAAAATGTTAACATGCAGTTGTGCAGGAGAATCCTTATCTCTTCTGCTTTTTTAACTAATTGAAGAAGCTAATTTCAAACAAAGACAACACAATGCTCACTTGGATGAAACAGTTTCCAGTACTAACAAGGGAATTCATGTAAAGGTAATGGTTGCAACTTGTTCTGAGTCCTTGCAAAAAGAAGCGGAAGGAAAATATTGATTGTTCACTGCTAACAAAAAAGGAAGAAAACAGAAAGAGGAGAGTGAGATAAACCAAGTGTTTTCACAAAGCTCTTTTTGGTCAATTTTGGACGTAATTAGAGAAGTAGCTTGCAAGGCTGGGAAAAGCTACACAGCCAAGTGAGCTGAGCTCTGCCAATGCCTGGGTCCATTTCATGAGCAGGGTTGTGACTTGTGAGAAGGTGCATGCACATCTGGGGGGAAAAGGGGATTGCATGGGTGACCGAAGGCTTTGCAAATGTCTTATCAGCATCCAGACAGTTGCTTGTGAATCTGGTTTGTCTTTATCTGACGTTTTTGTCATGGAAGGGAAAAAACCAACACCCTTCATTAGCCTTGTAAATCCTGGCCTAGAACACCCCGTGCAGCTTGCTCTCAAGACAAGGAATCCTCCAACTGCACGTTTTCAGTCAGTCCTCTTGATCCCTGCTCTTGCTATTCCCCAAAATCTGCCAAGTCTGTTGAACTTCCTCAGAGTGACCCTCCCGTTTAATTCATGGGCCGTTTTGTATTTACAGAGAGGTCAATAAAAGCTTTCCAGAGCTGCAAACCCCTCTGTAATGGTTGTCCTGAGCAATACAGCCTGAAGAGCCCCAACAGGAAATTGGTAAAGCAGCAGCCAATTTCCTCCTGCTCTTTTACTGCTGTTTGGTCTTCCTGCTCTGCTCATATCCCCACTGCTGAATTATTCTAGAAATGGTGGGAGATTTCCAGCGCCACGTATGCAGGAGAGCTCATGTCACTCACAGAATTTTATGTGAGGTTAATCAAACATTGGGTTTGTTTAATTAATAGTAGCTGTTAAGTGAAAGCTGAGTTCGGTGTCTGCTCCCATTTTGTTTCTAGCATTGTACTGATCTTTTGTTACCCATGCTTAAAATGAGGGCAACGTCTGTGCACGTTCCAGGCTGTGGTTTCCAGACACGGGGAAATCTTTGGGTGTAGGGAGAGATGCAGTGCAGTGACAGCCCTCAACTTCTGCCCTCTGCTCCAAGAAAAGAATATCTTCTTTAGAAGAGTGAGGAGTGGTGTTATGAAGCATCTTTGGTTAGTAAAGGTGCTGCAAAGGCTGCAGTGGAACTGGAAGCAACTCACTGGAGCAGATCGGTTCAGTGAAACTGTTGGTACTGAGTACCAGATGTTCTCAACAAAAGCCTTCCTAAGGTGATCGTGAGGACAGCGAGCTCAGTCCTGCAAACTGCAAACCCACGACAGCCTAGAACACGTCTTCTGGTTTAGTTTCACTCAAAAGAGATGCAGCCTGTGTGCTCCACGCTGGCTGTGTGATGCCAACCCAATCGGGGACATCTGGGAGGTGGCCTTCAAAAGCGTATTCCCAACCTGAGCTCCATCAATTGCACTGATGCACGGAGGGACTTTCCTTCATTGAGCTCCGTGGCACACAACTGCTGCACCCCTTGTCCCAGGAGAAGAGCACACAGCTCTAATTTAGATGCCTGGGCTGCCTCTGCAGTGCCTGGGGAGTGTTTAGCATCTTGGAAAGCCCTACTTACCTGTGACAGCAAAGGTCCTGAGTGCCCAAAATAATCAATGGGATATGCGAATGCTACAGCACCTAAATCCCACACCTCCCCGAGCCTTCCTCTGTGCCTCACAGCCTCAGTCCTTTGTCTAAGGTAGCTGTTTACTTGTCATCTCCCCCAGGCAGAGGGATGGAAGGCTGAGGAAACTGTAGCAATCGCGTGTTCTTTCCTAAATGATCGCAGCACACATTTTGGTCTTCAGACTTGTAACTTGTCTGTGTTTCCTTCAATGCTAGTAGTTCTAAAAGAAATAAAATAGCTCTCCAGTTTGGTAAAGCTCTCCTTTCTCTCAAAGAAACACACTAATTGCTTATAGCCACGCATTCTTAGCTGTAACGATGTCATTGTTTTCTGAAAAGTAGAACATTTCCAACACAAAGCAATTGTTTTTAACCCAAACAGCTGAAAGAATCGCTCCAGAAGTTAAGAGAGCAGTTTGACTCTCCTTTTCCCTGCTGGGTGTGAACCCTTTGTGTACCAGGAGGGGTTCCTCCCCAGGTGGCCCTGGGAAGAATAATTCCACCTGGGGCTTCCATTTTGGGCACCTGGAAGCAATGTAGAGACTCAGAGCATGAGAGCAAAGCTAAACTGGGAACCAGGAATGATTAAACTGGGAGCGTTAAGGACTTCAGTATCAGTTCAGGATTGTGCAGGTAAAGAACTTTTGCAGTTAAAATTAACGATAAAAAAAATCAGATTATTAAAGAAAAAATACCGGTGGAGCAGTGCCATTTAGATTAACTTTGCTTTGTGCGTGGATGCAATGCAGAGTCACGGTTGAAGCTCTCCAGCAGCACTCAAGGCCACTGGCTCTGATTTTTCAAGCCTCAAAAGAAAAAACAAATCCGAATAACGGTGCTTGTGATTTCCTGAATTTATTCATTTATGGAAAGAAATGAAGCACAATCGAATCTCTCTCGTGGAGAAGATTGCAGTCATAAACTCTTAAATGATTGGATTACCTGTCTTGTATCGTATTATCTTTTGTGCTAGTTACGTATTGTTTCAAAGCTACAAAAATAACAGCTCTTCTGTTTGAAATATTTTTTCTTAGCTTTGCCTCTTGGTCATAAAATGTAATCTGATACTTTTTTTCTTGAAAGGTTCCTTGTAGGTTTTAGCTGTTCTTTAAGTTATGCGCTTCAGTCTCAAGTTTGATTTTTGTCAGTTAACCTCGCACCTCAAATACAGATTTTCTCTCCAGGCTACCACTTTGATTCTTCTAGTCAACCCCAAACTTAGCAAAACTACGGATGTGCATATTCTCTTTTTTTAACCATAATTATCAAGTTTGTTCATTTTTTTTTTCTTCTCCCCTTCAGGATCTTTCTGGCAAGCATTGCACTCTCCTGGGTTTCGATGCTGTGAGAATTACAATTCATCCAGAGTTCAAGCCTTTGGTTAAGACAATGTCCTCAGGGTTATGAGGTATGTTAAATGGCAGAAGAAAAAGCTACTGTTCTGGTTCCCCTGCTCAGCTGCATTGCATCAGGTGTGCCGTGGAATAGCTAATCCCATTCTATTTAGACATCCAGACCTCAACTCCACAGAGGTCACTTCTGCAACCCAGCAGAGCTTTGTGGGCTTTCCCTTTGACCTTGGCCATGTAGAAGCACCAGGACCTCACACGCAATTAAAAACATGGGGTTGGAGTACCACAACTCAGTATCAGGCCCATTCTTTATTCCCTTTTCTCTGGAAGGAAATGACTGGAATATGACTCAGCCCACTGCTAATCCCAGAAGTAGGTGAGATCAATCCCCGTGTAAAGGCATGGCACCTCCCACAGCTCTGCTTCTTGACGTGGTGCTTGTGGGTTTTAGCAGCCTCTAGTGAAAAGACAAGGAGAAATTCTTTGCTGTTTTTTTTTTTTTCTTTTATTGTTTTTGTTTCATACTTTCATTTTTGTTTTATCCATAAAGACTCCTTGAAGCTGAAACACTTTGCAGAAGCACCCATTGATGCCCAGAAAGAGGAGCACTTTCTACTTAAGTCAGCAGCTTCCTTATCTTGTAGACTGCCAGGGAGACTGAGCCCATGGGTTACAGCTTTTAGAGGCCCCTCTACATCACCCAGCTCTCCCTCCATCAGCATGGGGCTGCCAAGGGCTGTGTTGAACCCATCTGAAGTGAGACCTCAGCTCCCAGGAGTGCCCCAGCCTCTGGTCAGGCAGATCCCATCCTGTTGGCTCCTGGCAGATTGGGTATTCAACAAGCTTCACAGACCCATCACAGGGCCCTTTCCTATTTCTTTTTAAGGAAACATTCTGATATGATATTTTCTCCCTCTGTGGGAAATGTCAACATTTATGAAATGGGAGCAAACTGTTTAAATTTTTTATAGACTGAAAAGATTAAGCTTCGGCCAGCTCTCGTCAAAATTTCCCTGGTTCCCCATAAGCAAATGAATTTGAGTGAAAAAGCGTCGTTGTCTGTAGTGCTGCACAGAGGAAGCCATCAACTTGTTCCCTGCAGTCCTACCTTGTTACTTGAGTATGCATGGGAATCTGAGGTGTGTCTTTATAGGTCCGTATTTCCACGACCTCCAGTATTCTTTCTCTCATTTGTTATTTTATCGTGTAACCTGGATAGAGCTACAATTCTAGTGGCACTTTAAAACACTATTGCTTGTATATGCTCCAATTGCAGCTCTGATGAAGCAGATGAGATAAAGCAGTGTTCTCATCTCTGCATCTCAGACACAATAAGGACAGATAAAGAAATGCAAAGACCATTGCAAAACACTGTTTATTACTATTTTCAGTGGCAGTGAGTACTCCAAATGAATCTCTGCACAGCTGAACTTTTGCACAGACAATACTGCTGGGACCTCAGCAGACCACAGTCAGCTCATTTTTGCATCTGAATCCCTAAAAAAAGAACACCCAGACTTTTAGGGTGGAATTCATTTTAATCAAATATTTGGGTCTTATGCTGCGGCTTTAAAATAATCACTGTCCAGTGGAAAGTGATACAATATGGCACACTGAAAAACATTCCCAAATTCACCGGAATGCAATCACTGAGGAGTTCATTTTCTGTAAGGTCTTAAAACACAACCATGCAGTAAAAAAACTTTATTTCATTGTCTGGCTATTCTGCCAAGTCCGTTCCTTCCTGGAATGTTTATTAAATTTAGTTTCATGTGGTCTGTAAATATATATACATATATGCATTCATATCTGGTCTCCTCTTGCCTCAGGAGGCTGGGTGGGCTGCAGCCTGCTTTAGGGGAATTAGTACTAGCGCTGAAATTTTAGCTACATGCAAAGATGTGACAAAACAAATTTGCTTTCCCTGTGGGAGCTTTGTCCTCCCTGTGGATGACTAAATCTAGATTACATAGCTCGTGCCGATAAAAATGCAACAATCTTTTCTTTCGTTATTATTTCTGTGTTTGAGTTTTTCTTTCTTTTTTTGTTTTCTTTTTTGACCAAGAGCACGGAGTATTGACTTGATGATTCCAACGCAGCTGTCTGGCAGTGTTAATCAATGATCTCTGCTTGCTCACAATGTACTACCAGCGTTAGATCATGGTGACAAGAGCAGTACAAGCTTAGTGCAGCCTCCGAGTAAATCATCACTTTCTTAGTCACTGTGAGCACTTGGACTAAATGAGCATTTGGAGTAAATACTGTTTTCTGCATGTTAGAAATGAAGCAAAATTCCTCTCCTCTCCTCTCCTCTCCTCTCCTCTCCTCTCCTCTCCTCTCCTCTCCTCTCCTCTCCTTTCACAAGCTGTTTCATATCTCCTACTATTGCGCCTGTCAAGATATTCTTCTGTCTTCCATAGCTAGATAATTGAATCCCTATTATTTTCATAGTCTTAATGAAGGTTCTCTAAGATCCTTGCTTGTTACATCTGAAAATTGAATAAAAAATTCCTTTGTGCTGACAGCTTCATTGTAGTCAGTGTTCAAAATATCAAAGGAAGAATGCTAAATGTTCATAATGTAAAGTGTCAGGAGTGCAATCTGGGATAATAGAATACATGTCTTGCAAACTTGCACTTTAATATGGCAAACTACTTGGTCAGCAAGCAAATTAATTCATTTAGGATTTGATATTATTGCATGTAGTGGGTCAGCTTTTGCAGGCAGCTCTGTCTTATGATGAATTTTGCTAGCACACGACACTGTGTGTGCAGATGCCAACCACAGAATGACTGCATGCTTGGTGTAAGGATATAACAGCAGTGACTTCCCAAATATGTCTCTGTTCGCTGTATTTCTTTGTAAGCTCGCTTCCTTTTTTTTTTTTTCTCCAGTGCATGCTCACTGTTCAAAGAGACTAATAAACATTTGCAGTAATTATCTGGTTATCCCTTCAAAATACCAAATGTTGTACAGTATGAATTGATGGCACAGATGTTTGAAGCATGAACAGATGAATGCAGTGAAATGCTGTCAATGGAGTGTTGTCTCCCACAGTTCCACCAAGAAACCTGAACATATTTTCTGGCAGAACTGCTCATTTTCCCAGGGCAGATATTTGCAAGCTTACCTCTGTAGCTTGTGAATACCAAAATGAATGGTAAATATTAACCTCTGAGAGCTAGAACAATGTGAAAAATTACAAAAGTAAATGTTAGCAGAGATATCTGTTACACAGGCAAAGAGAGAGACGGCACTGAAAGGATTTATGTTATTTTTGAGCCTTGGCTTGCACACGAATGATGTGAATTTTTCTACTGAAAGAAAACTGAGGTCCAATTTTTCAAAACGTTGCCTTGAAGTTTTGTTTTTCAGAGTTGGGGACCTGATTGGAAAAGCAGCTCTCTGGAAAAATAATTATGGAAGACAAAAAATAATAATAAAAGAGAAAGAAAATATGTGACGTGCTGTAGAAGTTATAGCTGCAAACAGGTTTTCATTCTCTTGTGCATAAGCAAATAAATACAAAATAAAAGAAACTACACAAATGGATTAACAGATTTTGTTGATCTCTTTCTTGCAGAGAAGAAACAGAATTTGGTCACTCTTTGGCTGGTTAACTGTGTCCTTCTTCACTGGTACTATTTATGAAGAACACACATTTGTAACTTACTGTCGTTATCTGTTACTAGGCATATGTATTTCATATAATATCCTACAGATGGGTCCTTAGAAATACTCAATAAAGAACTGCTAAAACCGAAGCCTGTGAGGGAAATAATTCAGAGATGCTTGCAGAGCAGTTGCTTAAAAGAGAAGGAGAGATGGTCCATATTTCTGGGGGATGAAGTCCTGTTTTTTGGGTGTGTTGTGCATCTGATTTGGACGTCTCTCAGAGAAATACCCATTCCATCACTGCCCAAGGGAATTTCAGCAGAATCTGATGTTTATTTTACAGTTACAGAACCTCAGGTCCCTTCCAGTTGTTGGGATGGTTTTTTATTTCAGAGAAGCATCGCCCATGTTAGCCGTGCTTCTCTCCTACCCCTGCCAGTACTGCACCTCTCCAACAGAGCCCTTCTCAGCACACTTTAGATGTTGAGCAGGTTTAGCTGAGCTGCTGCAAATCCCTCAAGGCAGAAAAATAGTTGGAGGGATGAACTTGTAGCCCCGTGACAGCCCTGTCACATACACCCACTGCCTGCTGCTGCTTTACGGGCAATCCGGTGGTCTTCCTGCCACTGACATCTCAGTGTCATCCATTTCCTTTGTCCCATCCCAGAAGCAGCATCAGCAAAAACATACTGGAAGATCTCACTGGGCTGGGAGCCAACACAGATTTATGTCTTCCCCCCACCCACCCCCCCCCTTTTTTTTTTTTTTTCTTTTTTTCTTTTTTGGTGGGCTGCCTTTGATTTCCAGACCAGGCTTTCCTTACGGATGAGGTGTTGATCTAAGGATCGGCTCTTGGCAGCGGGCTCCTGTTGACTGGCCCCTGGCAGGACATTTGGCCCAAATTCTGCTCATGCATTGGGGTTTGAACTGTTTAAAACCCATTTAGAGCTCTCTACTCCTTTGTAATTCTGAGTCAGACTTGGATTTATTTTCTAAAAGCTGATAGAATGCAGAATGGCAGCTCAGTGTCCCAAGAGCACCAGGTTATGGATGCCACCTCTGCTCAGCAGGGACCAGGACAACCCCTGTAAGAACCTGAGTGTTCAGGCTATGGCTCAAACATTTCTGTATTTGTTTACTGAGCACTGATTGCATTACCATTTGCATTTGCAGAGAAGGTTCAGTTTACTCCATTCTTTTTTGCTAAAGTTATTTCAACTGAGCAAAGGTTAAGTATGACTTTCAACATATCTAAGTAAATGTGTTAGGGTAACACTGATTCCCAAAGTGAAAGTCTTTAAGCAGTGACTGGCTTAAAGGAGCTCTTAGTGTTTGCTACGAATGCCACTGCATTTACAAGATTTCAGGTGCATTATGTTGCAGCATTTAATTGGTTGCTTTTTTTAAAAAAAAAAAAATAATTGACACTAATTGCAAATTCAATATTTAATATTCATTATTGCAGTTTGTATAACTGTTTTTCCTTTTTGAAAGATTTTGGGTTACAACTACACCTTTAGCTAGTTGTTTTCTTAAAGTCTTTCAGAAGCGCGTGCCTTGACTAATCCTCAAGAAAGTTTATTCCCAATTACAGTGTGGACTATTACTTAATTTGTTGTTTTTTACCTCACATCTGGCCCAGCACACGGCACACATGGGGACTTGGCCCCGTGGCCATGACTGAAATTATTGCCCTGGCCCCTAAGACAGTGCTGCAAAAGTCATTATTGACAATGATTCCTGCAAAGAAAGCCCATTCGAGATGTCTGTTAAATACAGTTCAAACAACATTGCACCAGAAATGTTATGAATATTTTTAAACGCCTTCTTAAAGTTTGGGACTGCCTAATGAAGGCAGTCATTAGTGCAGGTTTCATTAGAGAAGCAGACTGAAATGAGTTATTGAGTTACCAACTAATTTAGATTATATCTATTAAAACATCCTCTTTTTTTCTTACATAAAACAAGGGGCATCAGGGTTTATAAAATAGATCAGGGCTAAAAACGAAAGCTGATAAGTGTCTAATGTTACAGTGCATCTTTAAGTTGATACAGCATACAGTAAGCTGAGTAAATATTGCAGAGGATGATCTGAGCAGCCCTTGAAGAGCCCTCAAAGTAAGAGTAGGGCAATGCCTGGAACATTTCGTGGTGCAATTTCCAGGTCTTCACATGAGGTGATCCTTCCTTGGCCCTGTAACAGTGCATTGCTAAAGCTGGCCGCTACCTGAGTGCACCTGACTTTGTTTTACCCAGTAATTCATTAATGAATCCTCCGCATGCCTTAGGCAGCTCGTATCCATTATCCTCACTTAATAGCTTAGCCTAAGGATGTCTTTCACTATAAATAATCTTTCACAATGCTTAGATAGCAGAGTTGTGTTCTTTGCGTAGTAAATGGAAATGAGCTGAAGGCTTTTGCCCAGATTTGGAATCACATGGCATGCAAAGGACCAGATAAAGGATCTACCATCTACCTCTCTTTTTTATTTTTAAGGAGGGTATATTACCCCCCCGGTGCAATATCTCCCACACAGACAGAAGAAATTCATCCAACACGTGTTCAAGCAATTTTCTCTCTCCGACTTTTAGCCGGCCACGTAGACTTTTAAACTACCCATGCTGCTTTAAATGTAGTTTTAAATTGCACCTAATATTTGGTGGGTAATTCTTTAAAGCTGTTAGCACCTCTTCACGGTGTAAGTAGGGGGATTTTTCTTTTTTCATGTGTGCCTTCCGGGACGTTAATGGATCCAAGGCTGGGGACGCAATCTCAATCCAAAACTGATCTCTGCAGTTTCCTGCAAGGGTGAAATGGGAAATATAAAATATTACTTTATTAAAAATTGCTCAAAACACATCTTCCTTGTTAAATATGCAGAGCTATTCAAATATATTGCCTTTCTGGGAACAGTAACAATACTCTGTTTGCCTGAATTACTATTGCCAGTACTTGTTTTACTGCTAAGGTAAAATTAGGATTTCAGGAGAAGAAATGAATTCCTGCATTTTCTGAAAACCCAAAAACAAACATGCACAAAATGTAGACGAATGAGGGGCTTGTGCTGCTTATTGTGACTGGGAGAGTCACTCATGTGTGACAGTAAAGGAAATGGGACAAAAATTAGCAAACGTGCATACACATGACTGGTGAGTTTGTGTCGCACTCATCGTGAAGACATCTTTGCACCAGCCACGAACCTCAGGGCAGAAATGGAAAGTAACATTCTTCACACCTCATATTGAGTAACCGTGTCTTTGACACCCGTGCTTACAGTCTTTATAAGACTACAGTGTTTTCTCTCTGAATCAAATTTATTTTGAACCATTTATAGACAAAGTCCATGCGGGTCTGAATCTCTTCCAGGATGCTTTCCACAAACTAGATTTTCTATGCAAATAAATTATTCTACAATTATCTCGGCGAAATTAATTCTACGTACTCTATCTGCTAATGAGAGTCCACCAAATATTTTGCTATTGCACACACTCATTAGCTTGCTTTCATTTACAGGGAGCAATCAGCATCTGCCAAGCAGCGAGAGTACCAAAGCTGCCATTAGTATTTCCCAAATCTAACTGCTTCTAATTCCTCCTCACCTCTGAAGGACGATCCCTCACAGCAGCTGTACCAGCATCAATACTGCTGGGGGGTTGCTGCCTTCTGCAAGAGTGCCTGGGACCCTGAACCAAAACCTTCTGCCTTCTTGCTAAATGATTGAAGAATATCTAGTAAATCATTTACCTCTCCCTGCTGCTGGCTTTCTGTTTGATAGTGTTTACTCTGCTTCCAACACGAAGGCAAAGTTAAATTTTCATCTTGCAGAAAAAAAAAGAAAAAAAAAGAACAAAATACGGTGAGCCTTTTTGCTCGTTATTGCCTGATCTTTCCAGAGCGAGCTGTTTCTCAATCCCATGCATCACAGATGTCCTGTCAAGGCTCATATACACCCAGTGAAGTATTTGCATCCCCATGCCTGCTGATAGAGTGAGCATGTTTGTCTACAAAGTGCTTTTAAATGAACTAATACATGATTCATGCGGGCTCCTTTGAGCAGAACACCAATCTGTCTGGACACAGTTTGCTGTAGGCTTGACAACAGGAGAGTTTCTCTGGGTGAGACGGGTGCAGCGACCTCCTGGCGGTGTGGGGCAGCATCCAGGTGCCAGCAGGGGACAGACCCCACTTGTCTGCCATGTCCCTCGTGTCGTCTTTCTCTGGTGCTGGTGACACAGACCTCTGCCTGCTCAGTCATGCTTGTGCAGGAGTGGGTAGTGCGCTACCTTTATCATCTATACAGGGATACAACAAGAATCTTTGCACTCAAGGATTGAAAAAAATTGATCCCAAGTATACTGTTTCCTTCTGAACTAAAAAGATTTTTAATCGAGTCTCTGCTCCTTTGGGTAATTGACTTAACAATGTGGGCAAATTAATTTCAGATAAACCATCGCTGACATTTTCCAAGGAGATTTTCCTAGGGTGCTGGGAGTCAGCCCGGTGCAGCAGCAGTGGGACAAGCATCTGAGTTCCTCTGCTGCTGCCCGTAATGGTTCAACCTAGGACCAAATTCAGGAGCTTTTATGTGAGGTAATCTCCCACTGAAGTCACTGATTCAGGAAGAATTTTGCCCAAGGAGGCTGTGGATGCCCCATCCCTGCAGGCATTCAAGGCCAGGCTGGATGTGGCTCTGGGCAGCCTGGGCTGCTGGTTGGCGACCTGCACACAGCAGGGGGTTGAAACCAGATGATCAGCAGGGTCTTTTTCAACCCAGGCCATTCTATGATTCTATGATAAGGATCAGCACAAATTGGTTCAAAAAATTTCCAATTGCTTGCAAATGTGTTATGCACACGTAACCTCCGCCCCTCGTTTAATAACCTAATCTAAATGTCGCTCGGTGCAGCCCATTATTGTTCAAGTCTTTCTGTGATAT